GGACGAGACGGAAAGAAGACGGGGAGGAAGGAAGGGGAGGAGGAGTAAACCCTCCCCCCAAGCTCCCTTTCCATAGGCCCCATACAACGGTTCATTTCCACTGAGGGGCTTGCCTCGTTGGAAGACAACCGTTTTCAGACCCTGAATCATGCCAAAACATTGTTCTCAGGATTCCAAAGGCGGAGGCGGGGGAGGTTCATACAATGGCCACTGTGCCAGCCCGCCAGACCCGCGGACCCCGCCGCCGAGCCTAGCGGCTGCCGTGGAGCGGCGCGGCGGCGGGGCCACCCTTCCCACCCCAGCGGGCCGCCGCGGCCCGCGTTTTGTTTTTTTTTTGGCCCTCTGGCGGTCCCGCTCGGGACCGGGTCGTGGGAAACGCGTGGCCGGGTCCAGTGGGGTTGCCACGGGCACCCTCGAAAGAGGGTGGCGGTTCGGGGGAGGGGGAGGACGGAGGATATTACGCGTTTGCTTTTTGGACCCCCCCCCCAGGGACACACATGTAACTATAGGTGGGGGCAGGTGAAGCGGAGGACGAGGATGAGGGCGAGGATGATGACGAGGAGGATGACGAGGAGGGCGAGGAGGACGAGAAGGACGAGGATGATGATGATGCTGATGATGGTAATGATGATGCTGATGATGATGATGATGCTGATGATGATGATGATGATGATCATCATCATGATGATGATGATGATGGTGACGATAATGGTGATGATGATGGTGATGATGCTGGTGGTGGTGATGATGATGCTGATGATGATGATGATGTTGCCGCTGCTGCTGATGATGCTGATAATGATGCTGATGATGAGTAAGAGGAGGAGGGGGAAGCCAACTTTACAACGCGAAAAACTTACCCCAAGGACCCTCGCCCCTTGGCACATCGAGCCGCGCCCAGCCGCGGCGACGAGAGTGCCCCTGTGATGGCCGAGCCCAAACTAGGAAACTACAGCCTCGAGTTTTTGGCGTTGTAAAGTTGACTTCCGTCCTCCTCCTAACCGTCCTCCTCGTCCTCGTCCTCCTACTTCTCCTCCCCCTCCTCCTCCTCCTCTAACATCGTTGGTTTGGGTGTGCACTTGTCCTCCTCCTCCTCCTCCTCCTCCTCCTCCTCCTCCCCCTCGCTCGCTCGCTCGCTCGATGAAGGCCTGCACAAAAGTGGCCTATTCTTGGTTTGGGAAAATGGGGGCATCAAATGTTCTCAAACGTTCTCGCTCACCAGTCTCCTCAAAATGGGGGCTCAAACGTTCTCAACTGGTGGCCCATCATCGTCCCAAAACGTTCTCGCTCACCAGTCTCCTCCTCGCACCTCCTAGGAGGTGCGAGGAGGAGACTGGTGAGGAAGAACGCTGAAGAGCTCAGCAGCATCCCACGCGTCGCCATTTGGGCTCAAAACGAGGGCATCTCGGCGGCGCATGGCGCCGCGCGGCTCCTGCCAGCATGGCCGATGACGAGGAGCAGGACTCGGCCGCCAGGGGCCTCTCGTGTGCAGATGTGGAGCTGATGGTGTCGGAGTTCGGGCCGTTCTTCGAGCGGCCAGATTGGCTGCAGTACAAAGCGGACCTCAGCAAGCACCCGAGCAAGGCCGACCAGGAGCCCATTAGGAAGTACATCAAGGTGTGCATCACAATCAGGAGCAGAATCGCGCCGAACTGCTCGCTGTCGAAGAAGGCCACGGAGCATGCAGTCGAGCTGATCTCGAAGGACAAGTGGGAGTTCCCAGGTGACACCCTCGTGGCGTACCGCTGTGAGGTGGCGGCGAAGCTGCGGGCGCTGGCCAGGCACTGCGCGTCGCTGTGGAGCAGGCCCAAGCTGCCAAAGTGGTTCGCGGAGTACCTCAAAGCAGAGGGCTACGACGAGAGCCCCGACGCCGAGCCAGCAGGAGCAGCTGCACCAGCTCCAGCAGCAGCAGCAGCAGCAGCAGCAGCACCACAAGCGCAGCCACCACCACCGGCGCCGCAGGGGGAGACTCCGACGACAGCATCCCCTGCTGACAGCAGCAAGTATGTGTACAAGTACAGCGAGTACAAGAACAACGCCGTCAGGATCCAGACAGGCACGATGGCCGAGATCGAGTGCGAGATGATCGAGGGCCCAGATGCCAGTGGCTGGTGCACGGCGTTCTGGGCAGACGGCGCCACGTGGCAGTTCCCGAAGCACTTGCGCGTCAAGCAGAAGGCGTCCGCCAGCAAGCTGCCCCGCATCACCTTGCAGAGCGAGAGCGAGGGCCAGATCGAGCTGTTCATGCGCCTGGCCAAAGACAGGGACCCAGACCACAGGCTCGTCCAGATCATGAAGAAGACCAACACGGGGGAGACGGGCAAGACGGCCGTGGTGGAGCAGCAGACACAGGCCAGCTGCGGGTACTGGCCCTCGGAGGACGAGGCGACCAAGGCGATGAAGGTCATCCTGGACAAGTTCCAGAGCGGGGAGATCACGACGAAGCAGGACGCCAACAAGTACAAGCTCGACATCATCAAAGGCATGGAGAAGCGACGAGGCGTTGCGGGCGCAACGATGCGGAGACAGCTGAGGCACGAGTGGGGGGTGGCACTGTTCTAATTATTGACGCTTCGCGTATCCCCACCAGCCCATTCAGAAACCCTGCCCTTCAGAGCTGACGGGAAAAGGAACGAAGAGACACAACGAGGGAAACACAGCGAGCAAGGTGGTGGCCTTGGAAGGCCTGTTCGGGCCATCCCTGGGCGCCGCATAGGGGCGAGGTAAAGAGGAGGAGGAGGAGGAGGAGGAGGAGGAGGACGAGGACGAGGAGGACGAGGTCGCGGATGAAGACGAGGACGAGGAGGACGAGGACTAGGATGAGGACGGCGCGGACGAGGACTCATGGAACCATCTCTGGGAGTTTGGGGGGGCCTATTGGAATCCTCCTGGAAGGCTTCTTGGGATCATCTTGGAGGCCATCGATGACATGATAGGGGGGTCCCCAACCCAACTCCCCCCTCAGGAGCAGGCAAACCGCGTCTTGGGGCTCTCTTGGAGCGCTCGCGGGCGCTCTTGGAGTTGCTTTTTTGGCCGTTTGGAGCATCTTGGGAGCCATCTTGAGCCAGCTTGGGCTATCTGAGCAATCGTGGAGGTCATCTTGGGCTCTCTCATCAGACCGCTCGGGTATCTCTTGGGGGCCTCTCGGATGTTTCTTGGAGCCCTCGTGGGACCCTTTTGGAGCCCTCTTGGGGCTCTGTTTGGGCTCCCTTGGGGGCCCTGGAGCGCCTCCTGGGGGGCCATCTTCGAGGCTATCGATCAAAAGAGGGAGGCGCCCGATCGAGGCCCCACCCCCATCGGGGGGCACGACCCTCGTGACGGGTGTCAAAAAATGACCCTCCCAGGGGCCGATCTTGGACGCTCCAGCCGATGGCGGCAGGGGAGGGGGTAGGGGGAGGGATAAACCCCTACCCGAAAGGGAAACGGGCTTTTGGACCAGGAAAGCAAGACATCGTTATACCACCTGCGCCCAGAGGGCTGGTGGGATTAGGATTTGAGGCGTTGCGGGCACGAGTTCGGAGGATGACGAGGAGGAGAAGGTGAACTCACGAGGAGGTGGCGGGAGCAAAATGGCTGCCCCCCCCCACGGAGAGGAGGAGGAGGAGGAGGAGGAGGAGGAGGAGGAGGAGGAGGAGGAGGAGAGGAAGAGGAGGAACAGGTAAGAGGAGGAGGAGGAGGAGGAGGACGAGGAGTTGGAGGAGGATTGCCACCCCCCACGCGTGCTTCAGCTGCCTCCGCATCGTTGGCGCCCAAAGGTTCGACAGCTGGCGCCGAGGCAGCCGACGCGGGGCTGCAGAACGGGCTGGGAGAAGACGAGGCGCTCGGCGGCGATGACCTCGAGGGGGACGACGACGCAGCACAGAGCAAGCGCAAGGCCGCGCAGGAGGTCACACTCATCCCGATGAAGAAGGCGAAGGCGAAGGCGAAGGCGAAGGGCAAGGTGGCGCCCGAGCAGATCGAGGAGCCGACGGGGGCAGAGGCTGTCGCTGCTGCCGCGGCGACGCACGTGCCGAGCACGCCCGAGCTGACCTCTGCGGCCGCCGAGCCAGCGGACACGGCCAAGAAGACGGCGCAGGTGGGCAGCTCCAAGATGGTGCAGAGGCCGGCCCAGACGGCCGTCGAGAAGGCCGTGGAGATCCTGAAGATCATGGCGTCGGATTCCGAGTAACCTGGCGAGCACGCCGCAGAACCAAAATTCATCATCACATCCACCTCCGCCACCACCGCACCCACCATCATCACCATCACCACCACCTACAGCAAAACACGAGGGGAACCAGTTTCGTGAAACTGGTTTCCCTCGTGTTTTGCGGCAGTAGCCCACAGCACGATGATGGGGATGATGAGGAGGAATGATGAGGGGGGAGGCACTACCGCCACCATCATGGCCACCGCGGCCACCACCACCATCACCCATCCGCCGCGCCTCCTGTCTCATCTCGGCCTACTTCACCTCCTTCACGTCTCTACCCTCTCACACTCACTACCCGAACTCCTCCAAGCCAAGTCCTCCCCTATCCTCCCATCCTCGTGTCCTCCCTATCACCTCCCTCTCTTGTTCCTCAGTCCTAACCTCCTCTCATCCTTCATAACCTGGCTGCTTGCTCTGACCCTCACGTTGATCTCTCGTTGCCTCCCCCGCGCCGCCAGGAGGGGGCGCAGAAGTGCAACGAGGGCTCAACCGTGGGCTACGGCAGCTTCGTCTGGACGGAGGACCGCTGCCCGACAACGCAGGAGTTCGAGGAGCAAGCGGGTGGTACCCGAACAGTCCTCCTCCTCCTCCTCCTCCTCCTCCTCCTCCTGCTGTTCCTCCTGCTCCTCCTCCTCATGCTTCTCCTCCTCCTTATCCTCCGTATCCTCCTCCTCCTCCTCCTCCTCCTCCTCACCCCCTGCCTCCTCCGTTTCCTTCTCCTCCTCCTCATCCCCCTCCAACTCCTCATCCTCCTCCTCGTCCTCGTCCTCGTCATCCTCCTCCTCCTCAACCTCCTCCTCCTCGTCCTTCCACCCTCTCCTCATGCTCCCCTCCACCTCCTCCTCCTCCACCGCCACCACCATATCCTCCTCCTCCTCCTCCTCCTCCTCCTCATCATCATCATCATCATCACCATCATCATCATCATCATCATCATCATCATCATCGGCATCAGCATCATCATCATCATCATCATCATCATCGTCATCATCATCATCATCAGCAGCAGCAGCAGCAGCCGCAGCCTCATCATCATAATCATCATCATCATCATCACCATCATCATCATCATCACCACCACCATCGTCACCATCATCATCAGCAGCATCATCATCATAACCATCATCATCATCATCAGCAGCATCATCATCATCAGCATCAACCTCGTCAGCATTATCATCACAATCAGTATCAACATCATCATCATCGCCACCAGCATCATCAACATCACCATCAGCAGCAGCATCACCGCCATCAACATCAGCATACTAGTCAACACCATTATCATCATACGCACCATCACCATCACCATCACTATCACCACCAGCATCAGCATCATCATAATCATCATCATCACCATTATCATCATCATCAGCATCATCATCACTATCAACAGCATCATCGACATCATCCGCATCAGCATCATCAACATCATCAGCATCAGCATCAGCATCATCATCATCATCCTCATCATCAGCATCAGCATCAGCATCAGCATCATCATCATCATCATCATCATCATCAGTATCCTCCTCCTCCTCCTCCTCCTCCTCCTCATGTGTCTCCTCTTCCTCCTCCTTCGCATACTCCTCCTCATCCTCCTCCTCCTCCTCCTCCTCCCCTCCTCATCCTGCTCTGTTTCCTCCTCCTCCGCCTCCTCCATCATCATCATCCTCCTCCTCCTCCTCCTCCTCCTCCTCCTCCTCCTCCTCCTCCCCCTTCTGCGTCTCACCCTCACCCTCCGTTGTTTGAGAAGCCCGCATCCCCTCTCGAAGGATGCGAAGCGCGTGCAGCGCGAATGGGCGCAGCGGGCTGCACGCTCTCTCGCTGAGGTTGGAGGCGACGTGGCACCGTCCAAGCCCGAGGCAGAGGCTGAGGTCGGAGGCGGAGTGGCGCAGACCATGCCCGTGACAGGGGCTGAGGTCGCAAGCGGAGTGGCACAGTCCATGCCCGTGACAGGGGCCAAGGTCGCAGGCGGAGTGGCGCAGTCCGAGCCCGTGACAGGGGCTGAGGTCGGAGGCGGAGTGGCGCCATCCGAGCCCGTGGCAAGAGCTGAGGTCGGAGGCGGAGTGGCACAGTCAGAGCCCGTGACAGGGGCTGCAGTCGGAGGCGGAGTGGCACAGTCAGAGCCCGCGGCAATGGACATCGGGATGCGGTCCGCAGTCCTCGGCCAGATCGGCATCGTCGAGGCGAACCCGAGCGCCTTCGGCATGGCGCCTGCGGACCTGGCCTCGATCGGCGTGCAGCCGATGAACCCGAGCCAGGTCGGGCTGCAGCAGGTCGCCGTCCCGCCGCCGCCGTTCATGCGCAATGGCGACACCTTCGGAGCGGAGTCATTGGCTCGGAGCCTCCCGCAGGGCCCGTCATCAGCGGAGCAGGGCGGCAACCTCCTGGGGCTTTTCGGCATCCAGCACCTGAGCATGAAGCCCACCGAGCTCGCGAATGAGGCTGCCCAGCTCGCGCCCAGCGCTCCCGCCGCGGGTAGGCGCACCAACATAAGAGGAGACCCGACCACAGGAGAAGGGGAGGAGGAGGAGGCGGAGGAGGATGAGGAGGAGGAGGAGGACGAGGAGGAGGAGAAGGGGGAGGAGGAGGAGGATGAGGAGAAGGAAGAAGATGACGAGGAGGAGGGGGGACCGAACGATTCACCCCACGAGGGGGGGGGGTGAGCGAATCACCCCACAGGGAGGGGCCCGAACGACTCACCCCACAAAGAACTGGCCTACGTTCGGACCGAGGTGTAAGATCGAGGTCGGTTCGGCTAGGATGCACTAGTGTTATTCGTGAGTGTCGGACAGTCGTGTGCTTTCTGTGGGAGGGTGCACAAAAGCAACGCATTTCAGACAACCTGTTTGTTCGGCGAACGGGTTGCTTCAAGTGCCGTGGTGCTCTGCCGCATGGGGCGTGGTCATGCATATGCCCGATAGGGGGGGGTGAGGAGAACGGGGAGGAGGAGGAGGAGGATACTGATGATGATGATGATATGGGGGAAGATGAGGAGGGATGATCGAGGAGGGAGGAGAAGGGAGGAGGGAGGAGGTGAAAGGGGGGATGAGCTCCCAGGTGCAGGTGGCAGCTCGGAGCCGACGTCCAAGGAGGAGAAGACCGTGGAGGATGCGTACAAGGCTCGCAGCGTCCCCACCCGCTCAGCCATCGACAGCAAGTTCAAGCGCTTCCTCGCCGAGGAGCCGAATGAGGCGGCCAAGTACAAGAAGTGCGCCGGTCGCGACGCGAAAGAGGCTTTCAGGCTGGACTGGGTGGACAAGGAGTGGGCGAAGGTGCAGACCAGGAGGATCGATTGGCATCTC